AGCTAATGTAATAAAACAAGAAAAGGAAATAAAAGGTATAAAGATTAGACAGGAAGAAATATATCAAATTCTCTCTCTTCATAGATGACATAATAGTCTATGTAGAAAATCTGAAATAATCACAAAAAAACTCCCGGAACTAAAAAGTGATATAGCAAAGTGGCAGGATACAAAGTTAATTTCCAACATCAATTGCTTTCCTATAAACCAGCAATAAAGAGGTAGATTTTGAAATATAAAACATTACCATTTACATTATCACTCCTAAAAATGAAATACTTAGCTGTGACTCTTACAACACATGTACAAGATCTATATGAAGTAAACTACAAAACTTTGATGAAAGATGACAACTAAATGGAGAGATATTCTGTGTTCATAAATAGGAAGAATCAACATTGTCAAGATGTTCAGTTCTCCACAACTTGATCTACAAATTCAACACAATCTCAACCAATCCCATGAAGTTATTTTGTAGATATTGACAAACTGATTCTGAAGTTTATATGGAAAGGGCCAGGCATGGTGGCTCATGCCTGTAATCCCAACACTTTGAGAGGCCAAGGTGGGAAGATTGCTTGAGCTCAGGAGTTTAAGACCAGCCTGGGTAACACAGTGAGATCCCATCTCTACAAAAAAAAATTAAAATTAGCTGGGCATAGTGGCGTGTGCCTATAGACCCAGCTACTCGAGAGGCTGGGGTGGGAGGATCACTTGAACCCATGAATTCAAGGCTTCACTGAGCTGTGATGGCACCACTATACTCCAGCCTGGGAGACAGGTTGAGAAACCATCTCAAAAAAATAATAAAAACTAAAAACTAGGTTTATATGGAAAGGCAGAGGTCTCAGAATGGCCAACTCAATGTTAAAGAAGAACGAAGTTGGAGGACTGACTCTACCTGACTTCAAGATTTATTATAAAGCTACATAATCAAGGCAGTGTGGTATTGGCAAAAGAACACTAAATAGGCCAATGGAACGGAATAGAAAGCTCAGAAATAGACCTACATAAATATAGTCAACTGATACTCAACAAAGGAGTAAAAGTAATACAACAGAGAAAAGACAATCTTTTCAACAAAGACTGTAGAATGGTCAACAATCTTTGTAGACATCTACATGCAAAGAAATAAACCTAGACACAGATCTTACACCCTTCATAAAAAATTAACTCAAAATAGATAATAGACCTAAATTTAAAATGCAAAACTATAAAATTCCTAGAAGATAACTACACGACCTTGGGCAGAACAATGACTTTTTAGCTACAACATCAAAGGCACTATCCATGAAGGAAATAACTGATAAAACTGGACTTCATTAAAATAAAACACTTGTGCTCTATGAAAGACAATGCCAATGGAGTAAGACAAGTCACAGACTGGGAAAAAATACTTCCAAGAGACTTGAAAAAGGACTGTCATTCAAAACATACAAAGAACTCATAACTCAACAATAAGAAAATGAGCCCCAAAACACAAACAGAACCTCGCCAAAGAAGATAAACAGATGGCAAGTATGTGAAAAGATGTTCAACATCATATCATTAGGGAATCAAAAGTAAAACAAGATACCACTACAGATCTACAAGAGTGACCAAACTCCAAAACAGTACCACCACCAAATGCTGAAGTGGGTGAGAAACAATGGGTACTTTCATTGCTGGTGGGAATACAAAATGGCACATACCCACTTTCAAATACCATTTGGCCATTTCTTATAAAATTGAATATATTCTTACCATGCAATCCTACAACGCTCTCCTTGATATTTACCCAAAGAAGTTGAAAACTTAGTCTACACAAAAACCTGCACATGGATGTTTATAGCTTTATTCATAATTGCCAAAACCTTGGAACAATCAAAACATCCTCCACTAGGTTTGTGGGTAAACTGTTTTACATCAGATGATGGAATATTATTCAGCACTAAAAATATATGAGCAATCAAGCCATGAAAAGATATGGAGGAAACTTAAATATGTATTACTAAGTGAAAAGTGAATGAAGCCAATATGAAAAAGCTACATACTGTATGATTCCAAGCATGTGACATTCTAAAAAATGCAAAACTATGAATATAGTAAAATGATTACTTGGCAGCGATGATGGGGATGAACAGGCAGAACAGGGGATTTTTAGGGCAGTAAAAACAATGGCAGATAAATATCATTAGTTTGTCTAAACCCACAGAATGTATAACACCAAGAATGAACCCTAATGTAAAACATGGACTTTGGGTAATATGTTCATGTAGGTTCATTAATTGCGACAAATGTACCAAGTACAGAGGGAAATGCCGATAGTAGGGATGGCTCCGGAGAGCAAAGGAGGAACGGTGAGTATATGAAGGACCAGTGAGTATATGAGATGTTTTACCTTCTGCTCAATTTTGCTATGAACCTAAAACTGCTCTTCTAAAAAAATAAAGATGTTTTAAAGTTTATGAATTAAAATAAGACATAAAATTGGTAAAATACAAGTTAGGTCTGTAGTTTAGTTAAGAGTAGTACACCAAAGTTAATTGTTTTCATAAAATATTATTGTTTTTTTTTTTTTTTTAAACGGAGTCTGGCTCTGTCGCCCAGGCTGGAGTGCAGTGGCCGGATCTCAGCTCACTGCAAGCTCCGCCTCCCGGGTTTACGCCATTCTCCTGCCTCAGCCTCCCGAGTAGCTGGGACTACAGGCACCCGCCACCTCGCCCGGCTAGTTTTTTTTTTTGTATTTTTTAGTAGAGACGGGGTTTCACCGTGTTAGCCAGGATGGTCTCGATCTCCTAACCTAGTGATCCGCCCGTCTCGGCCTCCCAAAGTGCTGGGATTACAGGCTTGAGCCACCACGCCCGGCCTTAAAATATTATTGTTAAATAAAGTGTTATCTTTGGGAAATAACTGAGTGACAGGTAAACAGGAACTCTGTAATAGTCTTACAACTTTTTATGAGTCTAAAGCTATTTCAAAAAAAGCTTTTACTGCAGGGCACAGTGGCTCATGCCTGTAATCCCAGCACTTCGGGAGGCCGAGGCAGGATGATCACTTGAGCCCAGGAGTTTGAGACCAGACTGGACAACAATACCCCATCTATACAAAAACTAATTTTAAAAAATTAGCCATCATGGTGGTGAAAGCCCTGTAGTCCCAGGTACATAAGGAGCTGAGGCAGTACTGCTTGAGCCCAGGAGTCTAAGATTACAGTAAACTATAATCGCACCACTATACTCCAGCCTAGGCAACAGAACAAGACCCTGTCTCTTAAAAAAAAAAAAAAAAAGATGTAAGTCAAATGAAAAATGAAGAAGGCTATTATTTACCAGAATTTATATACACCTTAATGTTGCAATGTATCTAGCATTTTTCTAAGGTAATAACATCTATATCTCTATTTTAGAAACATTTTACAACGCTGTTCTTTAAAATACGACAGACGTAAGTTCTCGGTGCTTCAGTATAAAGTTTTAGGCATAGCAGAAGAGAAAATTCTGGATGAGAAAAATAAGTCTTGTATTATTAATTACCTTTCTAGGAGAGCAAACTATAAGGAACAATATATAAATTCTAATGGAAGACATGATATAGGTAATAGATCCAAGAGATAATCCAGACCACCATTAGGCTCAATTCTCTTATGACTACCACACTGAGACAATTTTTGAGTCATGACAAATAAATAATAAATTTTTATTAGCATCTTTTCAATTTTACAAATTTTAAGTCATTATACATTTTTAAAGGTTACTAAAAATTACTGAAATATGTCTCCACTTAAAATGGAATCAAAGTAATTTATATAATTTTCACCTTTAATATTCATAATTTTTTATTTAAAAGTAGAATAAATTTTAACTCTAAAAAGATTGTTACATCTTTTTAGAATTGAAATTACATTTCAATGAGTGTAGCTCCGCTGTAGTTCATGAGGTTTATAGTTAAGAAATATTTAATTAAGTAAACGAATTTATTTATACCAAACCAAAACAAACCAAAAAAAATGTGTATGTATAATGAGACAGTTTATGTATGGTAATTACAGATTTGAAATTAAGTCCCCTTTGCAAAGATCAGTGCATCTGGACTGGTTAATCCATTAAATTATCATCTTCGAATAAGAAACCAAAAACAAAAATGACACTTTGGAAAGAAAAATAATAGTTTCAAAATGAAAGTTACTCTTCCCCTTATTTTAAAATACATAAAATTTTCTAAAATGCAAAATGGAAAGGTTTAATACACAGGAAAAACATTGCATACCTTAACTAAACAAACTAGAAAGAAAATATATTTATATACAGAACTAAGATGAATCCATGCATTATTTTTACAAATATTCACATAGATGGTTTAGAGATAAGTAGTTAAGTGTGTCTCATTAACTAATGGATGCTTTCTAGCCTCTGTCTTAATTAATTTTATTTTCTATTCAACAAAAAATAACGCTTTCAGGATATATTACATATAGAGCAATATCATTTTTATCAGTAATTTGTCTGAAAAAGAGAAAAACTTAAAGCAGAAGCCTACAAAGCAAAGCAAAGTACAAAGCAAAGAGTAATCACAATGTTTGCAAAATAGAAATGTGTGACTTTAACTTTATAGCAGGCTGCCTAATTAATCCAGACAGTAGAGAAAGCAGACTGAGGCAGGAAGTAAGAGGTAGGACTAAACTGTTAAGAAGATAATCATTTAAGGCTGGGCGCGGTGGCTCAAACCTGTAATCCCAGCACTTTGGGAGGCCGAGACGGGCGGATCACAAGGTCAGGAGATCGAGACTATCCTGGCTAACCCAGTGAAACCCTGTCTCTACTAAAAAATACAAAAAACTAGCCGGGCAAGGTGGCGGGTGCCTGTAGTCCCAGCTACTCGGGAGGCTGAGGCAGGAGAATGGCGTAGACCCGGGAGGCGGAGCTTGCAGTGAGCTGAGATCTGGCCACTGCACTCCAGCCTGGGCCACAGAGCGAGACTCCATCTCAAAAAAAAAAAAAAAAAAAAAAAAGAAGATAATCATTTAAAATAAAACTTTAGAATCCTTATTCTAGGAATTCCTTTAATTCTACTTTGCAACTTTTAATAGGTATACTAATTTACACAGGACACACTACTATTTACTATGTAACATTAAAGCTTTCAGTTAAGAAACTGGTCACCAATGAGGTGAGAGGCACCAGGGGAAAAAGCCAACCTGCTGAGGAAGACAAAAGAGGGGAAAGACGGAAGCTGGATCTTTTCTAATGTAGTTTAGCCACTATACTGATTCTGGAACCATCCACCTCTACACTTCCTGCTATGAGAAATAATGTCTTTGTCTTTAAATGTCTTTTTAAAAAAAAAAAGAAAAGAAGAAAAGAAAAGAAAACTGGTCAAAAAGTTTCACATAAGATTCATTTAAAAATCTTTTCTTTTTCCTTAGAACAAAAATGGTTAAAAACTTGGGTTTTCTAAAGAAACTTGTATTAATATGAAGCTACGAAGATACACAAAGCTGAAGTATCTGAAACCATTTGGCTGCCTGTAGTCTCCAGCAAGATCACAAAGTACTCAAAAATTCTTTGACCTGAGGAAAGGAAGAAAAAAAAAATCAGTATAATTCCTTGACTAATTTGAGGTATCTGATATTCCTCTTCATTTAAAAATATATAATAGTTGAAGACCCCAGCTGTATAAGTAACTATCACAATGCCATTGCATTTACTTTCCAAAGAAATATTGTTAAGGCCGGGCCCAGTGGCTCATGCCTGTAATCCCAGCGCTTTGGGAAGCCGAGGTGGGTGGATCACTTAAGGTCAGGAGTTTCAGACCAGACTGGCCAACACGGTGAAACCCCCTATCTCTACTAAAAACACAAAAGTTAGCTAGGCATGGAGGCGTGCACTTGATATCCCACCTACTTGGGAGTCTGAGGCAGAATTGGTTGAACCTGGGAGAAGGAGATGGCAGTGAGCCAAGATTGCGCCACTGCACTCCAGCCCAGGTGACGCAGCAAGACTGTCTCGAGAAAAAAAAAAAAAAGAAAGAAAGAAATATTGTTAAATACTTCAGTAGTAAAAGATAAATGACCTAAAAGGTCATTTTAGGAGTTATTTATTGCTCTGTCGCCCAGGCTGAGTACAGTGATGCAATCAAAGCTCACTGCAGCCTTGAACTCCTGGCTAGGTGCACACCATCATGTCTGGCTAGTTTTTGTTTGTTTTTTATAGAGATGAGGTCTCATTATGTTGCCCAGGCTGGTCAGGAACTCCTGGGCTCAAGCAGTCTTCCCACCTCAGCCTCCCAAAGTGCTGGGATTACAGGTGTGAGCCACTGCATCTATCAATTTTAGATACAGTTCTAAAATAGCTGTAACACCAATTTTATAATCTCTTTATTTAATATCATAGACCATTGACATATGCAGCTTTAACACTGATAACATTAATAAGCACAATAGTTCAAGCAACTCTGAAGATCAAACATGTAGTAGATTTGTCATGTTTCTGAAGCACATATGTGAATCATACCCTGCAATGTCAGTGTGTGGGGAAAATCATATAAGGAGTCAATGAACCTAGCCAATTGACCATAATGTAAGAATATGCTTGTTCTCCACATATTCTAGGCTACTCAGTAATTCTCAAGAGACAAAGATTATTGCCTTGTAAAAATACCTTAAAAAGAAAGTCAACTGCTAACATTATTAATAAAAGTAAATATAATAACGTGAAATGATTCTTAGTCAAAACAAAGTGTTAGATAAAATTAAAAAGTGATTTACAAAGTCAGTTAAATTGATGGTTGGCTGTTAATACTTAATGCTGACTTAATTTCATTTAATAGTATTATAAGTTAATTTATCCTATATTTTTAACATCATTAATAGTATGAAGAGGCCACTGGAATTTTCCAGATAAGCTTTAGTTCATATCATGGGAAAAACAACTACATGTATACGCTACAGTAGTTACATAAAAAGTCAAGATTTTCAAAATCCTTATTATATTCCTTATGAATGTCAAGTCTCTATTAAACAGTAGACATTATGTCACAAAAGAAAGGAAAAATCAAATTTTTCTCAAAACTAAACCAAACAAATTGTGGTTTCTTCTTTATAGCTTAATCACTGAGTTATCAACATGGGTATAGGGATATTTGTTATACAAATTCCCTTACTATTCTCTCTCAAATCTTCATCAATAAATTCTCGCCCAGTCCCTTTATCAAGGGGCACCACTCACTTAACAGAATATGGTCAACTCCCAGTGATTTGAGCGATAAATGCACTGTGATTAAGACAATGACTCAATGATTAAGCAATGTCAATTAATCCTTGACATGATCCCAAATGAAACTGAAAACTAAAACCCTCAATCTCAAGACTTTAGCCAACGTAAAAATGGATGAGATCCATATCCTACAACTTTAAATATCCTCCATATTGAATTTAGTTGAAAAAGATAAATTTAACTTCACAAGCAGTTTATTATTAAAGTATCTAAAGATTGGTGGTGTAAGGAAGAGAGGAAGAAATGGGGACAAAGCAGAGAAAAAGGGGGTGAGAAAGAACTTTTGTTATTATGATTATCCCTATCGTACAGATAGAGGCACTGAAGGATTAAAAAACAATCCTTGTTTTATTTTTATTTATTTACTTTTTTCTAAAACATCTGTCAGATTCTGAGATTCCGAAGGATCCTTATTTTAACTCAGGCCACAAAGCTAGAATTTAGTCAGGACTGGAATCTAAACAGTCCAAAATCTCCTAAAGCTCTTAACTGTTTCTTAACATAACTTTATGGAATCTTTTCTGTTAGAAAATTGTTTTCTCACAAGTCAGTACACTTTTTTAGAAAAAACAAATATTTGTTTGTAGTCTGTCTAAATCTACCTTTTCAACCAGACTTTCATGTTTGTCTTTAAAGTCTTCATTAACATCCAGTATTAAGATAGGCACCTCTTGAAGATAATCGAAGTCGGTTCTGTTTAAAAAGAGAGATTAATAAAATAATCAGAAATGTAAAAAAAAGAGAGAGAAACATTAAAAATTCATTCGTACGTCCTTGGAAAATCAAAATGTTGTCAATCATTTACACTAAAGTTACTTTGCAATACTTCATCTGGCAGCCCCTTCTTTCTCATTTAGATTTACCACATGGAGCCAAAAAACTCGGGTACAAATATATAAAGCTGGGTACTGTAACATATGATTCTCTTCAAAATTGAAAAACAGATAATAAAGGAGGAATTTCTGCATTTTAAAGATGAGAAAACTAAAGTTCAGAATTGTCATTCTGAAGCTCAGAGGCTATCCAAGGTCACACCAATAAGACTGGACTTGAGCCAAGATCTGACTAATAACAAAGTCTATCCTCTCAACAACCATGCTATACAATGTCCCAAGTCAAAATTCTTTCTGAAAGAGTAACTAAATAATGTACAGATATATTTCCTACTTTATCACTTAAAGTGAAATTTCATATATTATACTAACAATACCACCAAGGGATACTAGTTATAAAAACTTTAAGGAAATAGGATCTCATTGCAATCAACAGAATCAAAATCTATACCTAGTTTTGAAAGATACCAATAAGCAAAATGACTGAAAATTTTACATGTTGCTAGTCATATCTTCCAAATTTTAGATTAAAATTTAACAAAGGTATTTAAAATGAATAGCAAATAAAAATAAAGAAGTCTTACTTCAGTGTCCTATGCAGGAGCCAGCTTTCATGTTTATAATGAAGCTTCTCTAAATATTCAAGAGGAATGCCTTGCTCTTCATTTCTTCCCCGTAAATATATTCGATGTAAGCATTTCTAAAAGCAAGTAATAAGAGATGGAAGAAAAAGGCAGTGAACAATTATTCTTGTCTGCTGCCATCAAAATTTTCTTTTCTGTGTCTCTCTACTCATGCTAGCCAAAATCTCTACTTATTACTTCTTAAAAGTTGAAATAATTCATTTTTCCCTCCATGAGCTTTTCAGCCACTTGGTGGCTCTAAGCCAAGTGGTACTTTCAAAAATAAGTTAAAATAAGTCTATAAATTTTTGGTATCCACACATGAAATACACTGAGTTTGATAAAAAAGAGAAAAAAACTAAACATCTACTTAAAATGTTCAGAGACAACAGCTAAAAGGTATGCCAATCTATAAACATAATCTTACTTTGCTGTTAACCAAACTTGACTATAAAACATCTATGTTCAGTTCACATAAAACCACTAAAGGCAGTGGTTCTTAATGTGATGAAAACTCTATACCAGCACAACCAAAACAACTTTGGAATGTTTTATGCCTGTCCTATATCTGCATTATCAAATAAGGTAGCCACTAGCTACCTGTGGTTTTTAAGCACTTGAAATACGGCTAGTGTGATGACCAAGGAACTAAATTTCTAAATTTTAATAACCCTAAATTTAAATAGCCACATTGGACAGTGCAGCTCTAGATTATGTTCCCCCAAAAGCACACATACATAAAAAATTTTGTATAATTTGTGGGGGCTTATAGACCCTGAGAAACTCTTCATGCATTCCAAGAAATAAAAGCCTCCAACCTAAATGACATGCATAAGACCATCGCAGCATACAAACTGTGTTTCAAACTCTAAATTCTCTTTTCAACAATTAATCCTTTCATCAAAAGATATCAGAAACAATACTGATGAAATTATCAGTATTAAAATGAAATTATTAGTATTCTTTGTTTTTTGGTGTTTGTACTATTTTCATAACTTTAAGAAATCTTTTCAAAAATAAAAATTTCAAAATTATTATAATTGCTAAATTCTAGCTTAATAGTGACTATAAATGTTTCAAGCAAAATGAAATTATTAGTATTCCTTACGCTCTTTTTCACATTTTTATTTACTATTTTTGTAATTAAGAACAAAAAAAATTTCAAAAATAAAAGTGAATTTCAAAATTAACTTATGAAATTGCTAAAGAATTGCTAAATCCTCGCTTACTTAATGAAGAACAAAATCTTTACTTGATGGAGAACAAAATCATCCATTGGAATCAGAAACCTAATTTCTTTGAAAACCCAGCTTTGATAACAACACAGTATTCTAATTTTAGGCCAGAAGTTATGACATTTACATTCATCAGTGCCTACCCTGTGACTTAAGGAAAAAATGAGAATTAAAAAACAGAAACAATAGAAATGCAAGCACCAAAACCAGCAGGCTTCTGATTAAATGTAAGATCTTAATATTTAGGTTAGTTTTATGAAAGGCATATATTTGGTCTTCCTGTATTCATTATATAACATCATATGTAAATAGAATAGCTATGTTATAACCTATCACAAAAAGCACCTTTTCAAGTGAGCTCCCTTAATGGAAAATGGCAAGGGTCCTCTAAGTCTTTTCCCAACTATAGTTGCCATTATCCACTCATTTCCAAGGCACAAACAACCATAATAAAAGATTTCTTGAAATGGACCTCCATCAGCATCGCCATTCATTCAATAAATATTTACTGAGCTCCTACTATATGCTCCAACAGTGCCTACCACTGGGTGTTCTAGGCACTGGAAATTCAACAGTAATCAAAATACCCAAGGTCCCGCCTCAGGAAGCCTATATTCTAGGAGTTGCTTGACCACATTCATTACTTTAACTGTGATGAATGAGAAGAGTCTGCAAATGTTGGGAAGAAATAATGAGGAAAATAAAAAAGGATTGAGGAAGCGCAAAGAGCCTAAAAAAGCAACTTGCCCAGGCTGGGATTCTAATTTGCTGAGAAAAAAGAATGCTCCTATCTACACAGTTACAAGTTTCTAATTTAGAGGTGGGGAGTGGGAGGTTGGGAGACTGGAGTTAAACTAAATTGCCCTGATTACATACCACTAAAAAGAGTTCTAAATATTTCTTTAAATTTTCAATGCAATACATTTTTATTGGGTTTTACCTCTGGAGTGGCTCGAAGATAAATGATTCCATCCAATTCAAGGCTTTGGCCAAATTGGTTATTCATCCAGTCATGCCAGTCTTGATAAATTGTCCACTCAGTTTCATTCATGCATTCAGATTCATACAAATTAGATGCAAAAATATACCTAAAAGAGAGTCTTCATCAACACATGTATCATTTCAAAAAAAAAAAAAACAAACAAACAAAGAAATAAAAAAGAAAACATGAACACGAAACATTCTCCTAAATCCAGTGGCACATAGTGCCATGGAAAGCAGAAAAAGACAGGAGTCTTTCCATCATGTTTTTGGCCAATGGTTCTCAAAATATGGAGTGAGGACCCCATGAGTCCCCAAGATATTCTAAGGGGTTCTGTGAGAGGCCAGATTACTTCATATACCAATATACTTCAAACAAACAAACATATCATAACAGATTAAATACAGAAGCATAAATAAAAATCCAGCTCTTTTAATAAGTGAGGCATTAAAGATATCTGCAAAAATGTAAAGCAATGATACTTTTCTAGCTAGTTTTTATTTTAGAAAATATAACTTTTTGTGAAGTGTATTTATATTAATATGTAATGAATTTATTATTGCTAGTTTTAAATCATTTTTGTGCATCTCAATTTCTAGTAATGCAAGTATCAATAGGACAAGTTCTTTGGATGCCTCGATAGTTATTAAGAACTGAAAAGGGGCCGGGCGCGGTGGCTCAAGCCTGTAATCCCAGCACTTTGGGAGGCCGAGACGGGCGGATCACGAGGTCAGGAGATCGAGACCATCCTGGCGAACACGGTGAAACCCCGTCTCTACCAAAAAATACAAAAAACTAGCCGGGCGAGGTGGCGGGCGCCTGTAGTCCCAGCTACTCGGGAGGCTGAGGCAGGAGAATGGCGTAAACCCGGGAGGCGGAGCTTGCAGTGAGCCGAGATCGAGCCACTGCACTCCAGCCTGGGTGACAGAGCCAGACTCCATCTCAAAAAAAAAAAAAAAAAAAGAACTGAAAAGGGTCCCGAGATCAAAAAGTCTGAGAACCTCTGTTGTGAGCTAACTTTGGAGGTCAAAAGAATCCTAGCATAAGTAGGGCAATTCTAAGGCCCCTTAGAGACTTTTATCTACTTGTTCCAGGTAAGAGTCTAGGATATAGATCCAGATTTAATCAGAGCAGATGAGAATTTTAAAAGGGTTAGAGGGAAAAACAACTTCTCTGCAAATTTAAATGAGATGGGCACCACCATATTCCCAACAGTTTCTATGGAAGCTGGTGATTAATAAATGCAATAACTTCCCTAATGCCATTAGTACCAGACTGCTGAGGGATTTAAATATCATTTTCCATCTTAAATCCCCAACTCAGCCATTCATATTACTAATTCCCAGGAAACATTAAAAAAAAAAAAAAAGAAAGAAAAGAAAAACAAAAAGTCCAGTTCTAAGATAAAAACTTCAAATGGCCACGTATAAGCCATTTATACATACCTGTCACTATACACAGATCGTTCAAAAAGTAATACAGGTTTCTCTGCATCTTTGAGCTTGCCATTGAGAGAGGCAAGCTGAGCTCTTATTCGACTGAGACAGGCATATGTTTGGAAGGTAAAAGACCATCGTTCAGGTTTCTCATACATCATCTGAAGAACATTCCCACCATTTTTCTGAGACGTTGTAAGTTCCTATTTTGAATGTGCAAAAAGAAAAGCAAAATTAATTATAGGGCTATTTTAATTTTTTAAGGCTAAAAAAGAAAAGTCAGATAAATAAATGCAATCATGATTAGCAAAACCAAGATGATTAAGTTCCCTTTCTCATACTCTTTCCAAATATATTTTTCAGATTGTCTGAGGTCTGGAAAAATCCTTAGATCTTTCTCACAAGAGGTTACAAACTAATAACCTATGGAAGAAATCCTTGTTTGGTCCAAAAGGCCTTTTTAAAACTTTGACTTAGTTTGTCAATATTATTGTCAGTATTTAAAAGCTAAATAATTTCACATAAAATATTTGGATTTACATCTTCTTTTTCTTTTTTTTTTTTTTTTTTTGAGAGGGAGTCTTGCTCTGTCTCCCAGGCTGGAGTGCAGTGGCACGATCTCAGCTCACTGCAACCTCCACCTACTGGGTTCAAGCAATTCTCCTGCCTCAGTCTCCCGAGCAGCTGGGACTACAGGCGCATGCCACTATGCCCGACTAATTTTTTGTATTTTTAGTAGAGATGGGGTTTCACCGTGTTGGCAAAGATGGTCTTGATCTCCTGACCTCATGATCCGCCCGCCTTGGCCTCCCAAAGTGCTGGGATTACATCTTCTTTTTAAAAATGAAAAAAACCAAGCAGTACTGTGCCCATATTCCCTCTTGGCAAAAATCAGCTAGAGTCAAGTCACAGATGCCTCCTTTAGATGGGATATATGCTCTCCAGCTTATTAACCCCCACCATTCCCAGACGATTTTCATAACAGGCCTGATACATTCATTTGGCTGTCTGGTACCTTTAGGCATTTGTATTTGTAACCCTCCAATCTTCTAATACAACAGAATAGTTCCTCCCCCAGATTTTGTAATTCAATACTCTTATTGTTAGAACCACATTTTCCATGTTGAGGAAAAATACAAATATAAATTTTAAAATGAAGTAAAAACTCTTATCATCTTTTATCTGAGTTAGAACTAGCATCTGGAAACATGAATTATTTTTCTCTTTCTATAAAGTTTTCCTAGTTCTGTCCACCAAAACGCCTATAAACAATGAGAACCTTGTAGGAATATACAAAAATATCACCCAGATTATAATCTCTAAATACCATTTCCCACTGAAAGGAATTAGAATTCTGATTCTAAATCTGGGGAAGAAAATATACAAGATGAGCTTCATCTTGTATATTTTAGGAAACTATTACAGACCACTGGGATTGTGCCAAGGACAAAAGAGCCAACATAAATAAAGCTGCCACTGGTCAAACAAAGAATTTGAACATCGAAAATGAATGGGAGGCAAAAATCCATGAGTTTATAATACTAAAAACAACAACAACAAACCTCTAGTCATGTTTTGAGGCTCCTAAGGCACAAATTATTCTGGGAATGTGTAGGTGAAAAGAAAAAAAAGTCCCATTTTATTTTGGCCTTTCCTGTATAAATACTTTCAGGGTAATAAAGTGGTATATGAAGAAGAGGTCTTCATTCCTGAAGAATCTCAGCCAATAAATCTAGAAGGCTGGAGAAGGAGTATCACCTTTTACAACACCTACTAATATACTGCAATGAGGCAACAATTAGCAATAGATGCTATTATTAAAGTTAATTGGGAATTTTATAACAGATGAATCAAGCTGACAAAACCTAAACTGTTTGATTTTAACATCACAAAACACATCTTTTTGATTTAAAGAAATACACATCACCAACTAGGAATCTTGCCAAAAAAGAATTGAAAGTAAATCTAATCAAGTTTGTCTCTACTTGTAAATTTACTGGAAATACAGAGAACTGAAAAACATGTTAAATTTTACCAGAGATACACTCAGCCAAAACCAGAATGAGGAAAATTATGTAGAACAAATGACCCTGTTTCTTCAACAAATAAATTATAAAGGAAGAAAAGGAAGAGACAACCAATAGATTAAAATTTAAAAGCATATCAAGGCTGGGCCCGGTGGTTCACGCCTGTAATCCCAACACTTTGGGAGGCCGAGGCAGGCAGATCACCTGAGGTCAGGAGTTCAAGACCAGCCTGGCCAACATGGTGAAACCCTGTCTCTACCAAAATTATAAAAAATTAGCCAGGCATGGTGGCACGCACCTGTAATCCTAGCTACTTGGGAGGCTAAGGCAGGAGAATCACTTGAACTGGGGAGGCAGAGGTTGCAGTGAGCTGAAATCGTGCACTGCACTCCCGCCTAGGTAACAGAGCAAGACTCCATCTCAGAAAAATAAATAAACAAAAATAAAAAATAAATAAAGGGCATATCAACCACCAAATGTAACGTGTGTGAACCTTGTTTGGTTCTTAATTTCAAAAAATTATGAAAATATTATTTTCAATGGGGAAATATGAACACAGACCGGATAAGATGATAAAAAGAATTATTAATCTTTTAGATGATATTTTTTAAAAGACTATATTTCCAGAGTTCTCTTTGAGTCTTTGTTTTCTCCAGATGAAGTAATATATTCTCTAAGATAGAGGTTCTTCAAAATATAGTAGGAAAAGCTCCAGGAGTCTCTGGATTTTTTCAGGAGGCTAAAATTCTGGAGATCTGTTCATAATAACCTAAATATGCTTTTAACATTACTGAGCTGTACCCTTAAAAACGGTTCAGATGATAAATTTTATATTTTTGCCACAATAAAAAAATTAATCACTAAAAAAGACCACATACCTCATTTTATTTGAATTTCTCAATAAATATAATCTCTCTTGCCCAAAGCAATTTCAAAGTTTACTATATTAAAATAACTCAGAGAACCAATCTTGATTCATCACCTAACCAAAAAAATAATAAACTAGTTCTAAAAATACAAACATGTAAATTCAAACTGAATCAAAAATCTGAAATAGAATTTTCAGCTATGAAGATGTTATTGTCTCTTAGTTTAATAGTGTAACAGATTAGAAAATTAACAGTAAGCCAGGGTATCATTATCTGGTTCTTCAGGATAATTTATGAGTCATATAAAACATTTTCTTTTGATCCTATGATGAAATTTGAGAGAAATTGCTAGGGTTTTTTGTATGCAAGTATAAATGTTAAGAATAAAATACATATTAAAAATTTATCCAGCCAGGTGAGATAGCTCAGGCCTATAATCCCAGCACTTTGGGAGTCCGAAGCAGGCGGATCACTGAAGCTCAGGAGTTCCAGACCAGCGTGGGCAACATGGCAAAACCCTGTCTCTACAAAAAATTAGCCAGGTATGGTGGCGTGCACCTGTAATCCCAGCTACTCCAGAGGTTGAGGTGGGAGAATTGCTTATGCCTGGGAGGTGGAAGTTGCAGTGAGCCAAGACTGTGCCACTGCACTCCAGCCTGGGTAACAGAGCAAGAATCTTGTCTCAAAAAAAAAAAAAAAAGAAAGAAAGAAAAAAAAAATCTGAAAACTACTGTGCATCATCTTTACCAAACTGAATGTTTATTTTATCAAGTTTTTCCCTCTGCAAACTATCCAGAAAAAAATATGAATGTGTCAGAGTGAAACTACACTGAATACAAATTGGTAGAACACTGTTAGATAGAAAGCAGTTTAGCTACATTTGTGGGAAAAAAAAAATCTGTACCTTTTGGCCCAATTAATTCCACTTTTGAAAATTTACTTTAAAGAAATAATCTAAGCCAGGCACGATGGCTTACGCCTGTAATCCCAGCATTTTGGGAGGCCGAGGAAGGTGGGATCACAAGGTCAGGAGATGAAGACCATCCCGGCTAACACAGTGAAACACAGTGAAATTTTAGTCTCTACTAAAAATACAAAAGAAAAATTAGCGGGGCGTGGTGCGGGCGCCTGTAGTCCCAGCTACTCAGGAGGCTGAGGCAGGAGAATGGTGTGAACCTGGGAGGCAGAGCTTGCAGTGAGTCCAGATGGCTGCACTCCAGCCTGGGTGACAGAGCGAGACTCCATCTCAAAAAACAAACAAACAAAAAGATATAATCTAGAATACAGATTTAACCACAAAGGTATTTATCACAGAGCTAAGCGAATAGGTTATCATTTCACTATTATTAGGCATTTATATTAATAATAGTACATGCATACAATAAATTAGGCTGCCGTTAAAAATCATTTACAGTAAATTTTTAATGATAATTTTAATTGCCCTAACATATAAATATTATGGGGGACGGGGAAGAAACAAAATACAAAACTGTATATACTGTTTTATCAAGTAAGATCTATGGTTATCTCTGGATAATAAGGTTATAGGTAAGTTTTATTCCTGTCTTTTGATAATTTCTAATATTTCCTTAACTTCAAACAGTAAACAAGTATTACTTTATAATATTTTTAAAATTATGTATCACCTCCGCCAAAATGTAATATATTACATTATTATTTCAACTATGTAAAAGATACATACAGAGTGGTAGGATTATGGATAATTTTTATTCTGTCTCTATAATACATATCCATTGTCACTTTATGAAAGAATATTTGTTTTATAGGAAGTACAGATTATTGCCAAGGTAAGTGAAAAACAGAAATATCAAGGTCAGCTATAAAATCATTTATCTTTTAATTCTAAGTCTAATCTTTGTAAACATTGCAAAAGAGTTGAATTAAGTTCAATTGTAAAAGATCAGAGTCTACCAAATAATATAATTATAAAATAGCCAACAGGCCAGGAATGGTGACTCATACACCTAATTCCAGCACTTTGGGAGGCTGAGGCAGGCAGACTGCTTGATCCCAGGAGTTTGAGACAAGCCTGGGCAACATTGGCAAAATCCTATCTCTATAAAAAATACAAAAATTAGCCGGGCATGTCGGTGCGGGCCTATAGTCCCAGCTACTGAGGAGGTTGAGGCAGGAGGATCACTTGAGCCCAGGAGGCGGAGGCTGCAGTGAGCTGAGGTTCACCATTGTACTCTAGCCTGGACAACAAAGCAAGACTCAAAAAAATACAAGCCAACAAAAGTTATCACATCAATTCAAAAGGTACAAGTGGAAGTGCTTTATCAAGCA